CTTTTAATTACAAAACTTTTTACTAAACCAATACCTATAAACTAATCTTTTACAGAAAATATACTATCAATGAATATACTGTAAAATGGACCATGAAATAAGTAATACAGCTTTGGCTTAACACTCGACCCGATCGGAGAGAAGATAAGATTTCCTGAACCGCTTACCGATACTCGCCGATGCAAAAGATGGCATCGATTTATGGAAATATTGCATTCGTAATATTATTTTACTGCACTGGCTTTTTCGATCTCGGTAGATTTCAAATATATGTGATATAGAGATAAAAAAAACATGTACCTACTATTTTTTCGAGTTCGGTTTACGATAAGACCATTCATCACGTTTATGACGACCGGCGTTCTGATTGGCTAGCCTTAAGTTAACTAACCAATCAGATTGCTAAACGCGGTAATGGTTTGATTCCGTTTACGTAAACTAAACTTGCACTGGTGGTGTGTCATATTGTAAACTTCGTGGTCTCGATTGTTCCATTTTCAATTATTATTTGTTTTGCATTTGAGATCTAAATGAGGGTCACCGTTGACCATAATTTGTAGGTATTTGTATTTTTACCGTCATTTAGCCATTAGGTGATATACTACTGTGTACGTAATAGAGGCATCAGAAGGACGTTGGGGACCATTTATTTATTTATGTTTTATTGTAGGTACTCATTTCAGAATCTTAATCTGGGTTACATTTTATTAGGCACAAACAATGGGCGGTCTTATCATGCAATGGTAATTTCTTCCAAACAACTTCTGCATAGAAATTATTGTCCAGTTGATGCAGTGGCTGGGCAACTGGCTGCTATTTAACATGTCGTGGATTAGATTTCCACTATTTGTGAGTTCCGCAAACTTATGTGTGATGTATACGAGATATTTTATATTTGTAAAGGCACTAATGACACAACAGAGAATAGGTACGAAGATGGGACAAAGAATTTTTTGATAAAAATACATTTGGGCCTTTATAGAAGACTATTTAATTTACCATCGCTATTGGAACAAATTCAAATTACATAAAGTAGGTTCTAACACCAAGCAATGCTTTTACTTAAATCACCTAACCAAACAGGTCAGCAACAAGCAGGTTAATAATAACTTTACATCTTAACTTGGAAACCGGTAACTTCAATTACACTTCAAACTGACGCGTTCAATTTCTCAGTAACTAACACCTAAGTAACCTTTAAGTTAACAGGAACTTGATCCAGGTCTGCAAATAGTTCAAAATCCAAGTTAAGATTATGTAACTAAAGTAAGTTTTAAGTGTGGGAGGCCCATGGTTAGTAGTAGGCTAGTGCCTCCTAACCTGGCTCCTTTCATAAGCTGGCTCGGCCGGAGTGATACCACGACCACACGAAAAACCGGCGTAAGATTGTTGTAACATCTCTAACACCGCGCCAACAATTCGCCATGTGCGTTATATCACACCAATCCCTAGATCCTCCTACAGACGGGGCCCTATAAGGCTGGTGTTCAGCCGGGGTTGCGGGGTAAACGCAATGAGGCACCGCGACCTCGGCCCAGAGTAGGAGAAGGAACGGGGGGGTTTTTAATCAGTAAGAGTCTGACACTCCCTCCTCCTCCAGGGTAGCGCTGATTGCTAACCGTGTTGCTAACCATCAAGTAATAAGTTTGATTGTTAGTCGCTGTATCACATAAAAAAGTAAATTTAGTTCGTTAAAATTCCAAGGTTGAACTACACACATTTTGATGTGGCAGCGTCTAGACTTTGTACCATTTAAACGCTTAGTTCTATTTAAAAATAACGATTAGATTTCTTACTACTTTAATTGGACTTTTGACCTTGATGTAGAATAAAAAAGGGATTGTTTTTATTGTATATTTAATTTGTACAAGAGACTATAAATTAAACTGTGCGACAGCCCTTTATGATATAACTGAAACTTTCAAACTGCGATGTTTAGGACTAAAATTTCTGGAATGCTATTCCATTTATACAACTCCCACTTTTCTGGAATTGACATAAGGATCTTTTTATCCCGATCATTATCATCACTTCCCTTCACCCACATCCCTTCCCACAACAAAAGTGGGGTTGGTTGGCCACGCTCAATAGCAGACGAAGTTCCCTTTGCGAAATATGCAATCTTGGACTACTCAGGACATACATATCTTCTTTAATGGTATTAAGTTGATTACCTCCAAATAAAGATATGGCTATTTCTATTCATGAATACGCTAATGAAAGCTGGATTATTACAGTCAAAGCTGTATAGCGATGTGACGCATAAATAAGAAATATTTATGTGTGTGATGTCTAACTAGACGAGACACTTAGTGTAGATGCTCGGCGATTTAGTTTTTTTGTGGAATAGGAGGCAATCGAGCAGACGGATCACCTGATGGTAAGTGATCAGCGTCCACCATGGACACCTGCAACACTAAAGGACAACAGGGGTATCGAAAGCTTTTAAAAAATTGTTCTATAGTTCGTTCCATAATTAGAGACAACAATTTGACAACAGCAAATGTCAAACTACAAAATAATGTGGCCAGATTTTATAACATAGTGATGGGCCCGAGTACGATGTTTTAAATAAAATACCGATACCGTTTTTTATAAAATACCCTTAGCAAAATAAAACAACGTTGCGGTGATGTTTTTTATAGTTTAGTCGAATTAATAATAATAATTTAAAATAAAAATGCGAAATTCAAGACTGGCTAAAAGAAAAATATTATATTTGAGGAACCTATGCTGAAAGCCGAGCTGTTGGAGATTTCCCGGAAAGAGAAGAGTAATTATGAATGATACGTTGTGGACTGATGGCTGCTAAAAGGGGGGTCACTATTTTACTGTTGCCTCCTTACCATTGTGATTTTAACCCGACTGTGTTAGTATGAGCACAGTAAGGTACCAGGGAAAGTACCTAAAAATAATAAAGCTTTTAAAATGCACGAAGTCCATAATTTAATTTCGGTCTTTCGGTCAATACCGGTCGCGGGACCTCACTATTTATGAAATGGAAAAAACTTGCAACACTCGAAATGTCAAATCGTTGTCTCTAATTATGGAACGAACTATAGTTGCTTTGGAGACTGTTTGATATCCTTAAACAAACGATTTGCCAAAATGCGTTTGGTGAGGTTAAAAATCTAGTACCTACTTAATAATTGTTGATATGCATACTGCATAAGCGCAATAGCATATAGGTATTCTGTATGAGAAGGTTAACTTTACATATAAATTAAACTACCAAAACAAATTTTTGAGAATAATGATTTTTTACACGCACTTAAAGACGAGACTTCATTAAGTTCGTTGAATCTTTTTGGACAAGAAAATATTTTTGGAAAGCAGATTTAGAGCCTTAGTTAAAAAAATAAATCAGGAGGTATACAGCTTCCTAATTAATAGTTGATCAATTAAAAGGTTGAGTGTCTGTTTCGTCCTTAAGTAACATGTTGGTTGACATCAGTAGTTCAAGGTCATGGGCGTTTTGTGTTATGTTTGTCAAGAATCAAGAGCTTTGATCAGAGATGAATACATACTACATCATTAGAGAAAAGAGAGAACACCATATGGCATTAAGCTTGCCTTTTGCACCAACTTCTTGTCATTTTGTGTTTGTACATCAAAGCATAAATAAGTACCTAAATAAAGTAATGCATTTCTCTAATAACACACTTGGGACGTCTGATAAGGCTGTTTCCTTAAATCAGAGACATTTAAAGGCTCCTAGCTATTATCGAGAATGTTTAAAACCCTGTAATAAACCTGGATAATACTCTAAATCTTCCAAATACAGGTACCTGCCCTGCCTGTTAAACCGGAGGAATTACGAGTGCGTTGCGGGCCTTTTGAGGATTATGGTTTTGGGGATTTAGGGATAGAGGAGGAGGAGGGGATTATTTCTAAATCCTTCCACTCTTCTTGTAAATATATGACGGTTTCAAGTACGTCTCGCTATCTTCACCTAAAAATTTTTTTTGTCATGCGAAAATCATCAAATGCTTTCTCGAGAGTGACTCTTACTGACTAAAAACCCCTCCGTTCCTTCTCCTGCTCTGGGCCCGTAACCCCGGCTGAACATCAGCCCTATAGGATCCCGTCTGTAGTGGTCCATTGGCTCTCTGAGGCGAGTGCGAAACGCTACGCACCGTCCGCTCGGGTCTGGTTCTGGTCGGGCGAGGAGCTACCCTTACTCGCCGTCCGCAGACCCGCGCTTACGGTGGCCGGAGGTCATCTCTAGTCCTTCTGACCCCTAGTGGTATAAAAGAACTTATGAATTATTTAGGTCAAGTTCAGGTATAAATTTATTCAAGCAATAAAATCAGGAGTGTAGAATTTTTCTCGATTGACTGAGAATTTAATGGAGCGTGACGGATAGACGTGAGTGAACTACGAAGGTGACAGGTGAAGTACCCTTGATCAATTCTAGAGTAATTTATTTTAATATATTACCTTGTATAGATGGGCGATCTGGATGACACTGAAGGTATCCTATTTTAAGAGAACGTCTCATGATGAACTTTTATACTTGTTAGTCAAGTTGTTGTCAAGGATGTATTGCTGAAGATGAGATCTTGAGTTGATACTTCATTTTGGCTCAATTTATGACATGTTTACTAACAGTGATGTAGAATTTAAAAAGTTTAAATTTAGATACAATTGAAAATTTTACATTTACAATTACACTTAAACGCACTAAGATAAGTTAGATTTTTGAGACTACACTTTAAATGAACACAAAAAGTTACGTCAGAATTCGAAAACAAAACAATAAGCTATATTATTTCTATATATTATATTGTGGACGAAATAAAATAAATAAACGTTTTATGTGACATCCATTTAAAATAGTACAATATTCGCACGTGTACCCATCCATACCTTTCTTTTCGATTCATTCAGAATTCCGATCGCGTTATGACGGAGAATGGCTCTTAACTGAGAAAGCGACGTGGCCCTTCTATTGTACGAAATGAAGTTGTCGATGTACCATTTCTTATATAGATACTATGATGGTCAAGGTAAAGTATTCCTGTTTGCCTTATTTTGCTGTGCCCTACAGGGTCCATAACCGATCTCACACAAATTGTTACCACCTTTAAATGTATGTTATGGAAAAGCAATAAAGATATTGAGTATTGAGTATTCGGTAGACGGTTAGGTTAGTTATGTTAGATGGGACAAGCCCGCCGCAATCTCCCAAAACCGCTGCAACTCCTGTAAACCAGGATCTACAGTAGATACAACCATCAAAACACCGGGACATTGAAGTCCGGCGCGTCCCAGGGATATGAATGACTGTCTTGGATCCCGCAACGAAATAAATCAGAAGATATTATTTTAGGAGGAGAAAAAACTAAATAGTTTCCACTTCCCTCGGTAAATTTAGCTCCTTTGTTCTCATGGCTGTGATATGGCGAGAAGGTTTACTGCCTCTCCGAAAACCTTCTATATAAATGTACTAGCTTCAGTCGAAGTACACTGATTTCTCAGAAACAATCGCTATTAGTCGCCAAGTCGTAATAAAATAGGACCAAAATATTACCAGTAGTTTTAACATAGTCCTACACTACAATAGTGTTCAAAGCGCCTAACACAAAGCAAAACCACATCAAACGGTTTCAGTCAAATGGCTGGAAGCGTGTAACTAAACCAATCTAATATACAACTAATCTGTTTCTATTTATAACCAGGAGAATTAGCGAGAATAGATTAATATATTGTTAGGCGCTGAATTTAGAATAAGATAAACCATGAATAGAGATAGAAACAAACTTTTTTAAGGGGGTTATCATCCATATTCTTCTCCCGTCTTCTTCTATGTCGGATTCTTACTAACAAAAACCGGGCCGGGCCGCTAACATCATTGTATTGGTAACCACAACCCCGAGATAAAAAAAACAGCTTATAGTTCTGTTTCTCCAATTCTCCACCTTTACTACAGGTCCTCTACCTAATAAACCTATATGTGGTTAAGATCCATATCATCAGCCAAAACATGGCTCTCCCACATAAAAAATTGTAAATTGATATTTTATTTTTTTTAGGTCATCTAATACATAAATGATGCAGTTACTATGTACGTAAACTGTTTTACATAAATGAACACCATAAAGTTGTTGACGACAGATCTCACCCACGCTGCACACATCAGTGGTTACAGCTTGTCACTACGGATCATATGATTTTATACCCCATAGGATTTCATGTTAACAATATATATGTAATAAATGAAATGCATAGGTAGTAAGTTCACTTATACTTACTATATAAAACTTTATGATAAGGTCGCAAGAACAAAAGTCGTTCAGTAAATTTTAAGGTCGTTCCCAGAAACGCCATTTTGGATTTGATTTCAAATTCACAGAGATGGTCAATATGCTTGGATTAAGCAAATACATTCATGCTTACTTACTTTTTTATATGTAACAGGTCGGCAAACGAGCAAACGGATTACCTGATGGTAAGCAATCAGCGCCGCCCATGGACACTCCATCAACGGAGGAGTTACGAGTGCGTTGCCGACCTTTTAGGAAGATTAGGGTTTTGGAGATTTAGGTACTGGGGAGGGATCGGGGGAGGGTAAGGATTGGGCCTTCGGTAACCTCATTCACATGGCGAAACACAACGCTGTGGTTGTTTCATGCCGGTTTTTCTGTGAGGCCGTTGTATCACTCCGGTCGAACCGACCCATTCGTGCCGAAGCATGGCTCTCCCAAACTAAACTACAGTAGATACAGTATACCTAAAAGCCAGGTTTTTCTTTTTTCGTTCATGGTAAAATGAAACATTTAACTATCGTCAATAAGTAGTTGAAAAGTTGCCAGTTACAACCCAAAACTTGCAAAGCTTGAAAAATATTGTGCTGACGCCTGTACCAAGCAATCTGCGATTAATTTCCAATTATAAAATTAATTAAAGAGACAAAGCCTACGAATCGCGATTGAGCAATGTGTTGGTAAAACATTTTAAGTGTAAAACAAAAGTAAAGAGAGTTTCGGAATAAATTTTGTCACTAATTATGCAAATGCTAAAGTATTACGGACACATTTTTGATCACACTTCTGGCGTTTTTATTATAACTTTCGTGAGTCATTCTAAATTATTTATTATGTTTTCGGCTTTCTCACGTAATAATTTGACGAGATACTCGACTAGTTTCAAGCCATGCTAGAGGCCCATATTCATGATGTAACCTTTTCAAGTAAGTACTATATCAGTAGCAGCGCGACAGTCGCCGAGTCGCGTGTCGCGGAATGCTGCTCATGAATATGGGCCTCTAGCATGGCTTGAAACTAGTCGAGTATCTCGTCAAATTATTACGTGAGTAAGCCGAAAACATAATAAATAATACACTTCTGGCGTTTTTATTTATTTTGACAAAAATGCATGGAGAGCTTAAGGTCGACTATTGACTGACAGGTTTTGCATAACGCTACCATTGATAACTAGATGGCGCTGGTTTAAAATGAAAATAACCCTGCAAAGCTTGAATACTTAACACTGCAGAGGCACACAATAAGGTTTTTAAAGGTTCAAATAATAATTAAGAAACAATAATTTATTTATATTCAAATACACATAAATTATGTTAATTTTCTCATTTCCGAGGACTTAATATAGCGCCATCTAAGTCAAGTCAAGCAAACCAATTAAAAGATGGCGTCAATAGTTAATAATAGACAATAATAAAAGTTATAAACTAACCCGCATTTTCGACCTCTTAGAAAATGCGATCGGTAGCTCGGATGAATATGAATGATAGAATAATGACGTCGAAGGGCACCAGTTCAATTCCGTGTTATCATTTTTAAATTTTGGTTTTATAACAATGGCTTTTTTATATTTTTTTTATATAAAATGAATAATAATAATATATAAATAAAATGTTTGATGTTTAATATTTATAAAAGATAACAAATAAATATATTAATAAATATATATAAATAACTTTTGTAATATGTGCTAACTATTAATGTAAAAGTAACATATTTTTCTTACAGATTAAGACTAATACTAAGTTTAATTCTCATAAAGGATAAAAAATAAAACTATTTTAGTGACATTATAATTTCAGACATTTATTTCTTAAAACATAATATTTATTTCTTTCTTATATAGTGTATACCCTGACCTAATAACTTTTCAGCTAACTGACACATTATTTAATACACTTTATAAAAGATTAATAAGTATTTTAAATCAAAATTGTATTGTGCTAGTCATTTATTAGTTAGTTTAAAACACAATGTTTAATACGATTCTATATAATATGCAACCTTACTTCTGCAACTATTTAACCTCCACATAAAATTTAATTAAAGTATTGACTAAAGTGATTCATTTTGTGCATCATGTTATGACAAAGGCTCATAGCTTAAGTATTCGTTCCAGAACAAGGAAGAAATTGAAGCTAGACCTTAAATCAATAACATTTTTATGACCGGGATATAGCATTCATTAGATATGGGACGAATTGTTTATAGTAATATTAAATAAATAATTTATCCTACTAACACTAAGTTTGAACATTTATCCATTAAGAAAAAATATAGCTACCCCAGTCTTGTAATTGCTTAATCCTATAGTCAACAATATCTTTTCTTCTAAGAACTAGTGTAGCCGCCATTTTTATCGATCCTATTTCTCCTATCTCGCTGGCCAAGGAATAATCCGTATGTCTGATTGCTGACTAAACACTTGCACAATTATGGAACATTACACATAGGACAATTGTCCTGCACGAACGTTATCACTACCACATCTTCATGACGTCTTCAGCACATCTATGTAGTTTTCACTGTTTGCATCACTGAAGATGACAATGCTCCAGTATATTTCCTCATAACCTTGCCCCATATGTTGAAGCTGGTCTGAGTCAATATCACGTCTTCTGCCAGATCCACTACGGTGCTCCAATGAACCCTCTTCTTGAAACAGCTTTAGATATCCATAAAGTGGCAGTCTTTACCTGTAAGAGACGTGTATTATTTATTATTTTCATGTATCGATAACCATGGATAATAAAATAAATAACGAACGGTCATTTTAAAAGAATACTTACGTTTAAGCCAGTTTCTCTCGAAATTTCAGTATAATTTAAGCTTTGATTATGCAATGCTATTATTTGGGCCCTCGTAGCCATATCAATATTTGAACGCAAACTCATGATAAAAATAAATATTAAAAACTTGTTAAACAAATCGTAACTGAACTCACTCAAAGATAGTAAAGAATGTTATGATTGAACAAAATGGTTTAATTTTTATACAGTTAATATTAAATTACCCTCAACTGTTTTGAGATTTATGATCGGGTTATAGTTGCTCAATAAGTCCAATATAATAAAGAGTAGGATAATTTCAATACATTTCAAAGTTACGCAATGGCCTAATGGCTAGTAGCATCGGTAAATTTTATGCTACCGAGTTCGAATCCTGGTTATTGCGTGCTTTGCTTTAAAAAGGTTTGGAATATTGTAGTATTAATTTGTGTAAAAAATTATTAAGTTCTATATAACTTTGTATCTGATAAAAACTATAAATGTATATTTTTCAATACCACTAGTATACTAGCGCCATCTATATCATCCATGGTATATTATTAAGGCGATGAAACGCCGTACAAACGATTTTGATTTGGAATCCTCCATGCACTTATGACACTGATAGTACTTGGTGACTTGATGTTGACTTTTGATTAAGAAACTCGATAACATCCGACAACCTAATACTTCCTAGTAGCTAATACTTTATTAAGTAGTGGGTTTACTAAAGTCACAACTGGGGTTGCAGGTCCAAGCAAAATAATGTCAGTACATTATAGCCGTCCGGAGCGGGAGAAGGGATGACGTGGTTTACAGACATTAAACAATACAGTGCTGCGTGGATAGGGAGGGAGTGTTAAACTCTTACTGACTAAAAACTAATCCGTTCAATCTTCTGATGTAAGCCGGACTGACGTAGTTTATCCACTTACTTTATCGGCCAGGAGACTCTCGCTTTTTTATGTTATACACGGCAAACGAGCAAACGGATTACCTGATGATAAACAATCAGCGCCGATCATGAACACCAGCAACAACAGAGGAGTTACGAGTGCGTTGCCGACCTTTTGGTGATTAGGGATTTGGGAGATTTAGGGATTGGGGAGGGTAAGGATTGGGTCTCCGGTAACCTCACTCACAGGGCGTAATACAACGATGTGGTTATTTTAAGCCGGATTTGTGAGTAGCTAGACTACTCTGCATTACCTTTACCGAAATATCTTTAGAGCCCTCTCGAGCTAGCCCCAAGTTTCACTGGTGCACCTGTTTGGGCAATTCATGGTGTGGTAAATACCAATGACATGGTCTTAACATGTTAAACGCCACGTAGGTTACCAGTGACCTACGGTAGCGGAGGATTTGGCTTCAATGGTTCTGACGGCAGCCAAAGACTTAAGATCCTAAAAAATGTTGGTCTTATAGAAATTTCCTAATTTAGTATAGTCTCCATTCGTGACACATAGACGGTAGTTCAGTAAACAAATTATGAATATTGGAATTGCATCGTCCGAATAGCACGTGATATATCGAACCCCAATTTCTGGACCAATACGCAAGATTGGAACTGTGTTCGGTAAATTGCGGCGTGCCTCACTATCAGTTGACGATCTACAATCAGTTATCGGTGACCATAGGCGTATACGGATCCAATTAAAAACAGATCGATAGATTGTTCAAAGGAAGTATATTTAAGTGTTTTGGGTTGTAACCGGCAACTTTTCAAGTACTTAAGTACTTATTGACGATAGTTAATTGTTTCATTTTGCCATAAACGAAAAAAAGAAAAAACCTGGCTTTTAGGTATACTGTATCTACTGTAGTTTAGTTTCGGAGATCCATGCTTCGGCACGAATGGGTCGGCTCGACCGGAGTGATACCACGGCCTCACAGAAAACCGGTGTGAAATAACCACAGCGTTGTGTTTCGCCGTGTGAGTGAGGTTACCGGAGGCCCAATCCTTCCCCTCCCCCAATCCCTCCTAAATCCCTTAATCTCCAAATCCTTAATCCCTAAAAGGTCGGCAACGCACTCGTAACTCCTCCGTTGCGAGTGTCCATGGGCGGCGCTGATTGCTTACCATCAGGTAATCCGTCTGCTCGTTTGCCGACCTATTAAATAAAAATAACAAAAAAAATATGCAGAATGAAGATGAATATTATATGTTCCCAAACGTACGGAAGTTTATGTTATTTTTCTAGGTTAACCTTTAAGCACCTACAAGAATAAACAAACTTAATACCTTACTAAGAGTTTTTTCTTTAAGAAAAAGCACCACATTTCAATACTTACTTAAGTTTAAATAACAGTGGGTAAAGTGATTTATTTTGTCTTCTATATAGACAGTGTAATGTTAAAATTGGCAGCTTTTATGGAAGGGAAACACAATAACACCCACATTTAAAACGTTTTACAGATTACTGCTTCACTATAAAGTTTACACAAAAACAGACGATTATAAACACGATCATTGCTTTTCTTTTAATCATAATGTTTCTCCTGTTTTCGTGAGGAGGAAATCATCAAATGATTATCAGACTCTTACTGACTAAAAACTACTCCATTCCAACTCCTGCTCCAAACTGGCCACGGAATGCTGTTCCGTTTTACGCAACGCCGACCAGACATTGCCCTAGTAGACCCCGTCTAATAGTAGTCTGATGTATCTTTGAGGTGCGCACATCGAACGCTTGGGATAGTGTTTCTACTGAAATTTCTTTAAATTCTGGACTCGGTCTTAATTGTAACATTCCTAGTACGAAGCTCTTCTACGAAATCTTATTCTTTGTGGCAGTAAATCAAGGCATCACAGATAGTAAAATATGAAAAAACCTATTGAATGGACTTTTATCAATTCGAAAGTTAACGGAATCACATCTTTGTTCTCAGGTCACCGTGCCCATACCGTGTTTGTTGGTGTACACGTGCCAGCTCGAAGACATTCCCATAGGAAGCACAAACATCATCATCGCAATGGAGAAAAGGATGTGGAGCGGCCAGGTAACAGAGTATTAGTAGAATAAGGGACAGTTCTTGACTAAAATTTGTTAATAGCACAGACAACAATAACAAAGTTTTGGATGATGTGGTAATGTGTGCATATCTAGGAACACACGGTTCCTATGTGACACTGAATCTAAAGAACACATGAATATAAAGGATCAAATACAAATAATATTCCTAACTTCTGTGGAAATCCATAGCATATACCTAACAAATAATAAAGAAGGTACAAAAATAGGAACCATAACAATATATGTGACCTTTTCAAACATGGTATCACAGTACAATGTGAGACGAAATTATTATGACGTCATTCACACCCTTGTACGATATTACCAAGCTTATAAAATTAACTCTTTTGACACGACACAATGAGGTTTGTTAGTCTCAACGGTGATATAATTCCAGGCGACTTGATTAACATAGCTTCTTCATAATATTCTCCTCTTCAACATCTTACGAAATTATAGCTTTGACACCTACCAAAAATCTCAATGTTACCCATCTCTAGGGCCGGGGTTAATGACACGAGTTAGAAGATTAAGCGTCACTGATGACGGCGAGACATGTAAGAAATTGTAGTAAAATAAACCCTATCTCTCTTTTCATAACATGAGTATCACTTTTCCAATTTCCATTTTAAACATTTAGCTTCATTTCACTTACATTTCACTGAATAAGCATGGATTATTATTCAATCGGGATCTTTCCGTTCAATTTTATGTTTTAGGATTATTCAGCATGTTTCAACTTACAGCTTAAATCTTTCGTCTATGATTTATTCATGAACCGTTAGGATTTTAGTAATTTCATTTTTCTTTGTTCCTAGCGTTTTTATATAAAAATTTTATTTCTTTTTTAAAAATATTTTGACGTAGCCTAATTGAATTCCAGTAACACCACCGGCGCAAAGAGTACAATTTATTCTCGGTGAAGATGTCGATGATTCCACACTCGAGTCCCATCCTCTGTTCTCCGAAATGGAGGAACTGGTTAAAGATGGTGATGAACTGGAATGGAAAGAGACTGCCAGATGGATAAAATTCGAAGAGGACGTCGAAGAAGGTGGAAACCGTTGGTCAAAGCCTCACGTAGCAACATTATCCCTTCATTCTCTCTTTGAACTTCGAAGTTTGATACTAAATGGATCCGTCATACTAGATATGGAAGCGAACTGCCTGGAACAAGTTGCAGATAATGTACTAGATAATATGGTAGCCGATGGTGGCATAGGATATGACTGTAGAGAGAAAGTAAAGGACGCTTTATTGAGGAGACACAGACATCAACACGAAAGACGAAACCACCACAATAACATGTCAAGGCTCCCACTCATTCGGTCACTAGCTGATATTGGACGAAACCATTCATCTTGTAAAAGTGAGTACAAATTATTTATTTAGAAAATTCCCTAAACTCACGTCACATGTCGTATTATTAATTATAGTTTTCTAGCATAAATTATATGGATCTTCCGATCCTATCAGATTTCCAGGAAGGTGGCTCTCGACGCTCCAGTTCGAGGAGTTGTCGGGGGCCCACCTCGTCTCCTCACACCGCTCTTCTTCAAGCGTCAGACGCCAGAGGTTCTTATCTGGCAGTTCCAGGTTAGCCAAGCGTGTGGAATGGTACCTAACACAAATGCTCACTGAACTCACGCCCTTTTACTGACATTCACAGTAGCACGCACGAGGCTAATTTAATGTTGTATATATCGGTGTAGTGTTTGGTGAAGGTTAACTATGGTTATTATGACCCTTATTCTAAGATCCCTGTGACATTGGCATTATATTATTACAGTTGAAGAAGGCGGTTCAACAAGCGGCCACTCTTACAAAGGAGAATTCAGTCGTTTCCTAGGCATCCCTAGTGCGGGTAACCGCTTGTCCTCATCAATGTTGTTACTTCTCTTTCTTACTGTTTTCTGTTTCTTACTTCCTCATCATTCTCAAACTACATTTCACTATTTCCATTTAACTATGCTGAACGCTGGTGTCCTTGTTTCGGTACAGTCAGTTCAATGTCTGCTTAAGCTTCCGCCTCCATTGTTGTTTCAAAATTTATCATGGAATTTTGTACTGTGAATAAATTTGTTCAGTACTTAAGTAATCCATTGCAACTTACGGACGTCTGATTCTTACATACGGATACAAATTCAATATTGGTATTGATGTCATATTTCACTTAAAAATTGACAATGGACCACTACACTTTTCAGATTTTTTATCTTTTTATATGTTACTGCTTTTTATAACACAGACAATTGCACATTTTTATCATTGGTGTCGATGTACTAAATGGCTTCAACTGAGTGGATTTTTGGAACATCTATATATAATCATAAAATCAAATTATTTCAGGTGCGGCACACGATGATGGCATGGTAAAAAGTCCCAGCAGTATATCAATGCAACGGAACCATAGCTCTGGTGATCTCCCAATGAATGGAGATATAAATCACAAATGTAATACAAATTTCATGCGGAAGATTCCACCAGGAGCGGAAGCGTCTAATATTTTAGTTGGAGAAGTAGATTTCCTAGAAAAAACGCTGTCTGCATTCGTTAGGCTGAAAACTGGCACAATAATGGGCGATTTAACAGAAGTCCCAGTACCGACCAGATTCATGTTTGTATTACTTGGGCCGCCAAACAGCAACTCTAGTTTCCATGAAATTGGTCGAGCAATGGCTACACTAATGTCCGATGAAATATTCCATGAAGTTGCATATAGAGCTAAGAAGCGAGACCATCTTTTGGCTGGTATAGACGAATTCCTTGATGCAGTGACAGTACTACCACCAGGGGAATGGGATCCAGCTATCCGTATTGAGCCCCCAGCAGCCATTCCTTCCCAAGATCCTCGAAAACGGCCAAATGATAATCATCCAAAAGAGGAATTAGATGAGGAAGAAGAGGAACAAAGACAGAGGGAAGAATCAGGTTTAGCTAGAACTGGAAGACTGTTTGGTGGTCTAATAAATGACCTCAAAAGAAAGATGCCTTGGTATTGGTCTGATTTTAAAGACGCATTAGCGATACAATGCGTTGCGTCATGGATATTTTTATATTTTGCCTGCTTATCACCTATAATTACTTTTGGAGGGTTATTGGGGGAAGCTACCGGAAAAAATATGGCTGCAATGGAATCATTAATATCTGGATTTGTCTGTGGAATGGGCTATGGCTTTTTTTCGGGTCAACCACTTACAATTTTAGGATCCACCGGGCCAGTATTAGTGTTTGAAACAATCGTATTTGAATTTTGTCGCCAGATTGGTTGGAACTACATGTCGTTCAGATTTTGTATTGGGACGTGGATCACGATAATTTTGGTAATATTAGTGGCTATCGATGCAAGCGCATTTGTTTGCTATATTACAAGGTTCACTGAAGAAAATTTCGCCACATTGATAGCATTTATTTTCATTTATAAGGTAAATAATACTATTACAATTTCAGAGATATTTAACACAAGCATAACATACAGAAGTTTTTATATTCCGATTTTACTATATTGCAGGCGGTGGAAAATGTAATATCAATCGGCAAAAAGTACCCTCTTAAGACACGCCCCGATGAAGTTCTCAATTATGAATGTTATTGTTTGCCAAGCAATTACTCCAAAGTGCCGGAGCAGTTTAATTGGACTTCGGTAGACAAAGAGTCTTGTCAGGTATATTACCTAATTAAATTATGATCTTGACGACTTTACACGTGTGGCTTGTATACCTCATTATACTAACGAGCTAAATACATACATGCTCTCGCATTACAGCTCTATAATGGGACATTAGCCGGCGGCGGATGTGATACGAAAGTGTACGTTCCTGACGTATACTTAATGTCTATTATTCTTTTCCTGGGGACTTTCACTATATCTATTATTTTAAAGGACTTTAAGAACTCCTTGTTCTTTCCATCCAAGGTAAGTTGCATCCAGATTACAGGTGCCACAACGTCGAAATCTGATACCTAATTTAAAGTGTTACTTTTGTTTTTCCAGGTTAGACAAATAATCAGCGACTTTTCAGTAATTATTGCCATTTTATCAATGTCTCTTTTGGACTACAAAGTTGGTGTAAAAACCCCAAAATTGGAAGTACCATCAGAATTCAAACCAACATTACCCTCCAGGAATTGGGTCATCACTCCCTTTAGTGGAAACCCTCTTTGGTCGGCGCTAGTGGCAATATTACCAGCATTATTGGGAACTATACTAATTTTCATGGATCAACAGATCACTGCTGTTATAGTAAATCGGAAGGAGAACAAACTGAAGAAAGGGTGTGGTTATCATTTGGATTTGTTCGTGCTCGCGATTTTGATACAGATATGTTCTGTGATGGGTCTCCCTTGGTTCGTAGCAGCCACAGTCCTAAGTATTAACCACGTCAATTCTTTGAAAGTGGAATCAGAATGTGCTGCGCCAGGAGAAAAGCCACAATTCCTTGGAGTTCGTGAACAGAGAGTGACTCATATATTAATCTTTTTAATGATTGGTTGTTCTGTGGTCTTGACTCCTGTTCTAAGTCACATACCGATGCCAGTACTGTTCGGAGTATTTTTGTATATGGGAGTAGCCTCGCTGAAGGGACTACAGTTCTTTGACAGAATCTTGATCATGTTTATGCCTCAGAAATACCAACCGGATCACATGTTCTTGAGACAGGTAAAGCTCTATTGTACGCTCTATGCTTATATTGTACGATCACATTCTACTGGATCACTTAAAATGATCCGATCGTGGAGACAAATATTTCCATTAACATATTGACAATATTTTTCCAGGTACCAATCCGTCGAGTCCATATCTTCACTACAATCCAGTTGACATGTTTGGTTTGTCTCTGGGTTATCAAGTCATTTTCAATGACCTCGATTCTCTTCCCATTGATGCTGGTGGTAATGATTGGCATCAGGAAGGCTCTAGACCTGTTCTTCACAAGAAGAGAAATGAAAATACTTGATGACGTGATGCCAGAAATGACTAAGAGGAACCAGGATGAACTTCGGGAACTCGGCGACGCGGAGGTGGGATGGCATGCAAAACTATTAAAATTTTGCGGTCGAAACTAAAATGTTGCACATCTTAACCATTTTAGTTTACCTCGTCATCCTATCGTTTGCCTAAATATTATTTTCGTTTTTGTTACTCATATATTACTGTGTTACTAATACCTAAATAAACTCAGCGTTTTGTTGTCATACTCGCATTTTATTTTTGCTGTTTCGACATTGTCATTTTTTATTATTTCGTTCCCTTTAACCTTATCTGTTACTTAAATTATGGTGAGTAGTATCTGTTATCAAAATTTATTTTTTCGTTCATTATTAGTTTATATGATTTTTGTGGAAAAGTTTCTTAGGTTATACCCTTATAGGAAGCCACAAAAAGCAACCCGCCGCAGTACCAAGAGAATCTACAAATACCTCTGATCAACGGTAACATTATGAACATACCGTTGACGTCAATCAATATCTCGGAGGAAGTAAACAAAACCGGGATATGGAAGCAAGTCAATAATAGTAACAGAATGAAAAAAGATACAAAGAACAAAACTGGAAAGAAAAAGTAAGTATATTTACCTAACCACCTTCAAGTTAAAAAATACATCACCCTCAGGGTCAAAAAAGAGGCAATATAAATTACCTGCATTTGTTTACCAACAAAAAAATTCTCACAATGTAAATATTTTTTATAACTCTTATAACATCACTCTTACAGTGCTAATCTGCCATGTGCAAGTGTGGCGATTAATGAAACAATGACTTCACTGACGAAAAGACTGACAGGCTATTATTCTATTTTGACGTTTCTAAAGTACCTGTTTATGTTTTATATACGATAAATGATTTTGACTTTGACTTTGGACACTTGGAGGCTGATGATGATGATCTTCCTTAGAATAACATTTTCCATTACAAAATTTGTACAAAAACCTTTTGCAATGCCTTAAATCTTTTCAGTAATAAACACAAGAAATTAATAATGTCGAAAAATGCACAAACTGAAATCGAGAGACGACTATCTACGATGGACGAGGTTGAAGAAGACGACTCATCGACAAAGGTGTGCGTCAATGACACCAAATTCTAAGTGGAGCATGATTGCACCATTTTTGGAGATAATGTGCATGTACAATTGTCACAATGTGCATGATACCTCTGCAAACTTGTATAGAATATTAGATACACTCCCTAAACCGAAAGTAGAATAAAAAAAAAATTAACATTAGCACATACAGGGGCGGACTTAGGCACAGATACCCGTCGAAAATAATCAATGGATTTTAATGAAGAAAACATAAGTATTTTTAACTTGATCTTATAATTAACTATTCTTTTTACTTCCGTATTTTTTTAATTATTTTGTGACATAAATAGACGGGGCCCCAAAGTAAAGTAAATGTTCAGGGGCCCACGAACAAAAGCACAGTCCGCCCCTGGATACCCTTCGATTTGTTACAAAGCCCCCATTTAATATTTTAATGTTTTAATTATAATAATTTGTAGTCTCTAGGTGAGCACTATCTTAGATGTAATTTATAAATAATGTAAATAGTTATATATGTGTGTAATTAATTGTGTATGTTCTACCCGAATATTAATTCCTATTTTTTTTATTCCATAAAACATATTAAGTCATTTAATTTATGTATTTATAAACTCAAATCGATATTCTTAAGTGTACCTATGTTTTTATAGAACACAAATAATATATTTTACAAATATTGATATGTCTTATAGAAATGTGTAGTTTAGAATGTATTTACCTAATTGTATTATGATTAATAGGAGAATAGATTTAGTTATACATATAATAGACACTTTATTTAAAAATGACGTAAGTAGTATTTTTTTTTTAATTATTAATATTTTTGTCAGTGTACCTACATTTTATGTAAAGGAATCCGCTTTATGTGTCTCCTAATTATACGAATCCTGCACTATTAAGCCATTTTTTCCTATATTTTTTATCTATAGCGCCAACCTTCTGTATATATCTAAAATATTGATGCAGTAAGTACTTTTTTATATTTTTAATGCCCTTTTGCAATTTGCATGCAATAAAAAGTTTAAATAATCTTTGTCCCTTTTACAAATTTAGTTTGTGCCTAGTGAAAAAAATAGCCAGATTGTACCATCCTAGCCACAAATAGACCCGAAAGATTACCACAGTTGGGGCCCAACAGGACTGATATTCAGTTAATAAGTCACCGGGGCCTTCGGCCTAGAGCAGGAGAAGGAACGGGGGCTTTTTAGTCAGTAAGAGTCTGACACTCTCTCTCGCCTTACCCTGGGCGGGAGCGGTCATTCGATGATTTTCGCCTGACAATAAAAGGCCACAAATAGACCCGAAAGACTACCACAGATGGGGCGCAACAGGACTGATATTCAGCCGGGGTTGTGGGCAAGCGCAATAAGGTACCGCGGCCCCGGCCTGGAGCAGGGGAAGGAACGGGGAATAAGTCATTTAGAATCTGACACTCCTTTTTTCCCTCCCACAAAAATGACTTAATGGCTAGAATTTTCAAATGAGCTACACTAAAAAGCACTATAAATACAATCGAACGTAAGCTTTCACAGTAGATATCCTAGGTCTAGAATTATGTTTTTTTCTAACAATTAAAAATTTTTCTATCGCATGTTTTTTTTAATAATTATTTGTTGAGGTTGTATGACTAAATAATTTTCAGAATGAGCACGTAAGGCGCAAAGACTCATGGAGCAGCGGTATAAGAAAATCTGATTCTAGAAAAGGTAGCTCATCAGCTGAAACTTCGGTCTAAAACTAGATCTACTTAAAAACAAAACTAATACTAATATTTATTTGTCTCTGTCTACTCTTAATGTCATAACCGTCATTTATAGTGTATAATCAAATTGGCACAAAGTGTGTTGAAATAAATTAGTAGGTATGAATATTATCTATGTTTATTTATTTTTTTAATAAGTGTGTCTGGCTGGTTGGTTTTAAAAAAAATTAACATCTTTAATATTGATCTCTATAGCAGGTTGATTTGTAATTTATCTGTGGTCGTACTATTAAATTAATTTATGAATGCCATTAATTATTCGTATTACCAATAACTGAATACAAAAAAAATCTAAATAGGTAGATACACGCAATTTTTTTAATGGCATTGATGTGAAACCTCCTTTTTAGTTTACCTAAATGTTATTTTAACTATAAATTGCTGTGTAATAAGTATTAATTAGGTGGTCAAAATTAAATCAAATTAGTTTGTAGCATGTGCATCGTATATGGGAAATATAAAATCAGTATTAAAGTAAATAAAAAGTGGTTATCTAATAATATTAGAGCTAATTAATAGCTCTCAAGAGATTCTCTTTCAAGAAGATTCTTATTAATTTTATTTATTTATCTTAAAAGAAAACAATATTAATCTTAGATACTGTCCCGTAGATACTTTATCAATTTCTTTCGTATTTGAACTAAACATTTTATAGAAGAATAATTCGAAATATTAATAGAATCATAAAAAAATATTAAAACGAAGTGCCAATAGAGTAACACCATTAGTTTTTAGATAATCTGTACAATTTATACCAGGATAGGATTTTTAGATGTCGCCAAAATAGGTTTTTTAAATACCTAATATAAAAGTATTTTAATTTTTTAATTAGGTATAAAACGACACTTAAAGCTGTACTTACTACTGCAAACTTTAATAGATTTTCAACTATAATGTTTTGTGACAAAGTCGATAATGTATTAACGTAATTTGACAGTTGAGGAATCTTTATGTGCTTTAGTTCTGTACAATCGGCAACTTTGAATGATACCCCCCGCATATCCTTATTTTCCTAGCGATATTAAAAACATACAAGAAAATTTATAATACTTCTCTGGTTGATCTTAGTGAAAGTGGGGTACGATTCAAATTATCGATCGTTTGTTATTATTTAAACATTTTGTAGGTAAATAACGTAGTATCACGATGTTATTAATAACTGTGTAAAATTAATACCTAATATTCAATTTAATGAAAGCGAGCGAATGGGTAATCAGTTGAATAGTAGTAACCTGTTCATAATTTGATTGCAATCTATTTGTTAAATTACTTGCATGTTAGTTAGCCATTAGCATCAGTAACTTTTTTAAGTTTTCTGTGATTATATTATTTATATTGTTTGTTCCAATCAATGTTTTTTAGTAAAGTTTGGTATATTATTTGTTAGTTCTACGTATGATAAAATAATGCAAAATATCCAAGAAGTGAGCGTTAATCATTTTGCACGATAGATGCGCATAATTGAGATCAAAACATAAGAGCATATAAAAATTTAGAGTATGTCTACTTCTATATAATTTTTCATAAATAATTACATTTTTGAAATGAAAAATAAAAAAGTTATTTTCCGCTCCAAAAACATTACTATGGTTACCTATTAAAAATCTGTCTGTAATTGAAATTAACACATTTTAATATCTAAATATTATAATTAAACATACCTCATATTTACTTCAGGCTATGCTAAAATATATAAAACCAATGCAATATAAACAGAAACATATGTACGTGCAAAATAAATGACACTTTCAAATAAATAGATCTGTGTATGTATGTACGAATCCTGTCTTCTATCTAGAAATATATCTTTAGATCACTTTCCAGCTCACGTAAATCAATATGATTCCAATTTTTCCCTGTAATCCTGTCTATGTATCTTCTAGAATAAAATAGCAATAGATATAAGTATTTAAATATAAGCAAAACAATTATTATTTGTACCTGGGGCGTTTGTTACGATTTGTATCGTTTTTGGAATATATTTGTGGAGTGTTATGAATAAATGGATTTTTTATAAATGTATTTTTGTGTTTTAATTTACCTATATAAATACAATTATAATATACATACACATACATACATACTATACTAATACGTTAGGCGGTAATGATAACAAGTCGACGATTGTACCCGTAAAGATTGGGCAAATCTATCTTGAGCTAGCATTCTTATTAATATTAATTTTACCTGCCCCGGCTTCGCTCGGGTACAATGCTGATAGTAATTGTTGAATGCGCAAAATAATTTATACTGACTTACTCTCCTTCTTTAGTCTCAGAAATTCTCAGAAAACGTCCTGGCAGTGTACAGGTTCAAAAGGCAACCATTTCGCTAAAGTCAGCTTATATAAATAAATATTACTGAAGTTGTGAAAATACTATTTTGCTTCTATTCTTAATACTTACAAAATTAAAAAGACATTACGTCGAAAAAAATTAAATATCTTTTATTAGTCCAATTGTAATTCTTTTTTTTGTTTTTTCCTTTCACGGGACCACATGGTCCCGGACCTTTGGAAGGCGTACGAGGAGCCGAAGCCAACTAGCAGAGGCCCGTTGAACAGTTTTAATCTAAATGTGATGGGACATCAGCCGGCAATTATCCCTGTATGCACTATAAAAGTGCATCCAAGGACAATCCCCGGCAGGACTATTGTGAAATGTGGTAAAAATTGATAAGGTTATAATTGTAATTATTTTTAACGGGGATAAAATTAGAAAATAACATTTTATAATCATCACATTTATATTATATTAATTATTTATACAATATTGCCTTAAACAATAATAAAAATAACTGTTTAGATCCAGGTATACGCAAATTACAAATACCCACTAAGGTATCATTTGGCGCTACTTGCGCAACCACGATAAAATTGTTTACGCATTGCGCAATTTTTACATTTTGATATGCGCAAACTGTTAATTATTTTTCTGGGCAAAACTGTACAGAAGTTAAGTTAATATGAATTGTTTTTATTTCCGTATTTTATTCGTACATCATCACAATCAGACTAGTCTTTACAGACTGAACACTAGACTATTGCGTATAACCTGATCTTCAAATAAATTAATCTAAACATTAACTAGGCGGTTAATTCTTCTTCTTCTTCTGGTCTGGTAGAAGACCCATGTCTTCTTGGTGCTTTCTGATTAGCTTCTCTTGGACATCGGGTAAGCAGGGGGAGTATCTACTGTATTCCATGCTGAACTCTCCCTTACCTTGTGTCATTGACCTGTAAGGTAAACATAAGAAAATAAAGTTACAATAGTGTTTTAATATAAGT